ATCTCCTTTGCAATGCCCCCCCTTCCTAGAAGAATCAGAATCCTGATCCAATTTACTAAATCTAGTTGGTGGGGGGTTGCATGCGCCATGTTCCTCTAAAACAATGGTGGGATTGATGAAGGTTGGAATGTTAAAGTGTATCTATCAAACAAAATTGTAACTCTGTTGCAGATTACCAGTCCTTGGATGTGGTAGTTGCATTAGTTTGACCTTTTCAGGCTTCTTTTTTCACCTGGTGATCCTGCCAGTAACACACTGCCTGTCCAGGGGTGGAGGTGCAGGGTTGTCACCCTAAGACAGGCAGTATGTTAGGTCTACAGAGCATGTAGATACTTCCATTGCACACCACACTGGTATCCACCCTAGTATGCAGGGTGCTTAATAGGGATGTGTGTGGGCTTGACTGCCATGCTACGTTGATTTTAAAACATCCATGTTGGACTTTGTTTTGCAGTGTGCCAATTGATAGGATGAATGAGTTAAAGGATTGCCCGCTGCAGTTCCATGAGTTCAAATCTGTGGATCACGTCAAGCTTTGCCCCAGGTACACCGCGGTGCTGTCCCGCTCCGAGGACGATGGCATCGGCATTGAAGAGCTGGACACCCTTCAGCTGGAACTGGAAACACTCCTGTCCTCAGCAAGTCGGCGACTACGTGTGCTGGAAGCGGAGACACAGGTGAGCCTGAGTTAAATTGGGAGTGCTTTCTGTGTCCTATTGTGTAGATTTCCCTTCCTGTCCGATAACCATAACAGGAATTGAGAGGAAATCCCTCCAAATTGTGGGTAATCCCTGGTGGTCAGCAGAGTCACCAGTACTAGTGTCCCCACTGAAAGATTTCCCACCTATCCCTGTTCTGGTGACAACCCAACATTTGGGTTTTTCTTTCACAGTCCCCAGGACAAATAGAGAGGGGGAATCTCCCTAATGGGGACACAGAGAGCAGTAAAAACCTGACAGGAGTTCTAATCCCATTCCACTAAAGTTGAGATCTCCTCCTTGTGTCATTAAGGCCAGATTTTTTTTATTTTATTTTTTTAGATTATATCTGACTGTGTCCCCACTGGAAAGTATCCCCCTTACTTCCTGTCCCCATGACAAGGTGTGATAAAAGCAGGAAGTGATGGGACATCTCTCTGATGCAGACAGGGACATGTGTTTAGCGGCATGGTTAAGGGTTAAAAGGTTTTTTTATTGTTCTCTGTGTCTTCCTGTCCTGGTGACACCTACACCTTCTCATTTCTTCTCAGGGTGTCTCCACAAGGAGGGTGCAAATGTTGGCAGAGGCGCTCAATCTTACCCACTTTATTATTACCAAGAACTAAAAAAAAGGCTTTGCCCCAACTTTTGTCTCTTTGCCCCAAATGGGTCCACTCGGGGGGAGCAGCGGGCCCTGCCAGAACAAGCGTGGAGTATACAGCGAGCATTGTAGCCTGCTGGGGTATCTGGTTCTTACACAGAATGTTGATTTCTTCATTGTAGATCCTGACAGATTGGCAGGACAAGAAGGGAGACCGGAGGTTTCTGAAGCTCGGAGGAAAGGAACACGAACCCGGCACGCCCGTCAAACACAAACCCAAGAAGCCAAAGCTCGAAGGAAAGGGAAGTCATGCATCGGGGCAAGGCCCAGGAAGACCCAAGTCCAAGAACGTACAGCCAAAGATCCAGGAATACGAATTCAACGACGACCCAGTGGACGTACCCAGGATTCCCAAAAATGACGCCCCAAATAGGTACACTGACCAATCAGCTGCAATTCATCATCTAACCGTTCTTTACATCCCTGATCACTTACTGCAGAGCAAGGGACATGAAACACAAAGGTTGTACTCTGCCTGTCTGTTACCGGTATATGCATTCAAAGTGTAATGAGAGCAACAAACAAAGAGTCTGAGAGTCCAAAAACGTATAATATTCGCATTGGTTCATAAACGACAGCACAGAACAGCCAACGCGTTTCGGGGGCTCAGAACTTCTGAATCTTCAGGGTTAGAAACAGATGCGTACACGCATTAAATCCTGAATTTGGCTCATTTAATATTGGGGTGTATCAACTTCATATCAAATTATATATGTAACCATGTTTATAAACATCGAGATACAAATTACATAACTAGATTCATAAAGGCCGATGTAAACTCATCTATACATTTTTTATTATTATTATTATTACATAGTATTTATATAGCGCCAACAGTATACATAAATATAAGAAGCTTGGGAAGAATTATTAAAATAGAGAACATTCGTTTGTAACCAATAATAATGATAGGAAGATGATGATGATTATTTAGAAATGGATGCAATAACATTTTTATTTTTATATACCGTATATACTCGAGTATAAGCCGAGATTTTCAGCCCATTTTTTTGGCTGAAAAGTGCCCCCCTCGAAAACCCCAAACAGATCAGAGACACACGACATACATGAATATTGTGATGTTCTGCAGATTCATAAAAAGTTCTGGCAGTGTGTCAGAAAGCCAGAATCCACATTAAAGGAGAACTATTGGGTTAAGGCTTTTCCCCATAGTTATCCTTAGGGTAACGGGAGGACACCCAAGGCTCAGTATACCGTGAGCTGTAGCTCGCGGTATACTGAGACGCCGCAGCGGATCCTACCCCCCCCCCCCCCCCCCCCCCCCCCCCAATAATAATAATCTTGAAGTGAATGGCATTGTGGGTGAAATATAAACAAACATGAATTGCAAATACATGTCACTTTTTTATAAAGTAGAACTCCATTTAAAAAAACAAAAACCTTAACCTCTACCCCTGCACTGCAAGGGTTAACTTACCGGTCCCTGCAGCCACTTTTTCCCCCGGGCTCCAGCGGTCTAGGGACCGTGGCATCATAACGTCTAATGCAGCTGCATTGGATAGGAAGAGCGGAGTGCCTGCAGAGAAAACAGTCTTATCTCGGCATCACACTGAAATTCACAGACCATGTTCTATCTCGCCTCACAGGTTTTGGGCTTCGGTGGAACCGTATTGTGCTGACATAACTACAGAAGAGATCAAAGTGCTAGAAGACCTCCTGAAGACTCCAGAGGATGAGGCGGACTACTACAAAGTAGGATCATGCATACATGTACATGTAGGGAGTTTACGAATGGCAGTCTTTAAAAGAGAACTATGGGGTAACCTTTTTATCCCCTAGTTCTCTTTAGGGTCATGCTAACCTCATCCCGTGACCCAAAGCTCAGTATATGGCAAGCTACAGCTCGCGGTATACTGAGAACGCTGCAGCTGAGACGGATCCCGACAATGCTGTTGAGATCCACCCAGCTGTGTGAATGACAGCTGGCTCTGCCTATCTAGAGGCAGAACCAGCTGTGCCTGCCCCCTCCCCCGTCCATTCCTCCAGTCAGTGCTGGAGGATCGGAGCGGTGACTGACAGTCAGAGAGCGACGGTATGTGTTCGCTGACTTCCCGATCAATAGAGCCGACCTGTGACAGGCCGGCTTGAATTATGGGGATGTGTTTTTCACTCGCCTCATAGTTCTCCTTTGAAATGGAATTATTTGGAGGGATCTCCTTCTGCTACGGGTTTAAACCCCATTTATCTGATAGGGTTGTTACCCTGAAGCACGTCAGCGTTGGCAGGACATTTAATGGATATATATTAGGGATGCCCTGATACCATTTTTTTCCAGACCAAGTACGAGTACGATATTTTTCTTAAAGTGACATTAAACCCTCAGATTTTTTAACATAAACCAATACTGTAATGTGCGCCTTACTGTAATCCATGGTAGTTTACCTTCTCTTTGCTGCTCTTCCTTTTAAATCCTCATGTCTTCTCATGCTTGGGGAGAACTTCCCTTTGCAGCTGAGTGCCTCTTCCTGTAGTGCTGGCTCAGGTTGTGAACCTACACACAGACACCATGTATCCATTCCAGAGACAAGGCAGTCTGCTGCAAAACAAGTTCTGCCCAGCATGAGAACAGATACAGATTTAAAAGGAAGAGCAGCAAAGAGAAGGGAAACAACCATGGATGACAGTAAGGCACACATTATAGTATTGTTTTATGTTAAAAAAATCTGAGGGTTTAATGTCACTTTAAGTACTAGCAGATACCAATTACCAATACATTTTTTTTTTTTTTTAGTGTCATGTGAAACATTTTTTCAAAACAATACAGAGTAATGGTTTTAGGACAGTGGTGGAGTGCCAAGGCCTGGTCTCAGCTGGTAGTTCTGCCACTGACTCCACACTGTAGAGGGACTACAAATCTCAATAATACATTATACAGCAATGCAGAATACCCCCAGCTATAGAGGACTATAATATGAAGCTGCATACTCTTTGCTGTTCCGTAGTGGCGACTGGCTTGTGCGGGGTCTCGCCAGGGTCCGGTGGGTCTCACGGGCAGTGAGGTTCCACAGTGAGGAGGAGGCACTGCGGTTCACAGGAAGGCTGCTGAGGTCCCCAGTAATCATGGGACCTCAGGCAGCTGCTTCAGTTTAAAAATTTTAAGTGCCAGTATCGGCGTTTAGTATCGGGTCATTTCCACGTGCACTTGTGTGAATGCCCAGTATCGGCACTGGTATTGGTGCATCCTTATGTTCGCATCTCTAAACGTTGTTGCCATCTGTCCCATTCATTTCAGATCCCCCCTCTGGGGAAGCACTATTCCCAGCGATGGGCCCAGGAGGATCTGCAGGAGGAGCAGAAAGATGGAGCCAGAGCTTCCATGGCTGCAGAAAAAAAAAAGGGGGCCCTGGGGCCACTGACTGAACTGGACTCCAAAGGTAACTATGGCCTAATCTGTGACTAGATGAGTGCTGCTGGAAACATGGAGCTATAGAATGGAGGGAAGGGGAGGAGACGGGGGGATCGGCGCTATATGCATGTCTATAGGCAGTGTGCGTGTATACTGTAGCTGTATACATATTAATGTGGACCTTTCGGTAACTGTCTCTGTACTAATATAAGGTCGTGAATAGATGTACAGCGTGTGATTATTTTTCACTATCAGTGTTATACTGACACTGTGCACGTTATCATTACATTACGTCTTGTCTCCACATACCGTGTTTCCCCGAAAATAAGACACTGTCTTATATTTTTTTTGGCTAAAAAAAACACACTAGGTCTTATTTTCTTTTTTAATGTACAACAATCCAAAGTTAATGCAAATCCAAATTAAATAATCCAAAATGGCAAAGAATAGGGTGATCAGGGCAATCAGGGGTGCCATACCTTTCCAAGAGCAATTTGGTAACCAGAATGAGCGAAGCGCACTTTCACTATAGATTCCTCACAGGCGGAGTGCATTTGGTATCACTCCACCTGTGACAGGAGCCGGCGCTATAGAGGAAGCATCGGCTTATGTGGCTCTGCTCCCTCCGCTGCCGCCTCGCTTCCTCTAGCGCTGGTTTAGTTGGCACCGCTGATTCTCTCCCGCGGCTCTTTAAGTTCCCCCTTATGCCACCACCGGCCCTGGGAATGGTCACAACTAGGTCTTATTTTCGGGGTAGGTCTTATATTTTAGCAATTCCCAAAAATGGTACCAGGTCCTAATTTCGGGGTAGGTCTTATTTTCGGGGAAACGGGGTATTCATGGTTCCATTGTAAGATCACAGACTGATACTTCTGAGAAAAAATATGGTCCCCTCTTGTATGTTTCTAGATGTTGACTCGCTGCTGAAGAAATCTGAATCCCAGCATGACCAGCCAGAGGACGGCTGCCCGTTCGGTCATTTGACGCAGCGTCTGTTGCAGGCTCTTGTCGAGGTAATGTAGAGATGTCTTTGCAGCTTGCTGACTGATCCCGTAGAGCTGAGCAAGATCAGTAAGGACTGATGCACATGGCTGCAAGACGCAGTGTTTTTACTTGTGCTGCGTTCAGTTGCGTAAAATTGGAGTAGAAATATTCGCGTCCACAGTCCTGCGTATGGACTATTTTACGCTGTACATAATTTAACGTTTGTAAGTGTACAGTCAACTGGAGTAAACCGCCGCCTGCATCCTAGCAACGAAGGGCACTAGGCCGCAGTAGCCATCAAGCATCCTTTGTTGATAGGATGCAGGTGGCTACTGCTGCCTAATGTCCTTTTATTCATTGGATGCAGAAGTCTATTGCCGTCTAGTGTCCTTTGTTGCTAAAGTCTGCAGGTGGCAGCCTGCCCTATCCAGTTCCGCAGGTCTGACCAATTCTCTTACTGCTGTTTTAAGAGGGTTACCGGAACAATACAAAGGTGACCCAGCTGCAGTACATATTAAACATTGTGCAGAATATCGTTTGATGTTTCTTATTTTCTTTTAGGAAAATATCATTTCGCCAATTGAAGATTCCCCAATTCCCGAGAAGGAATCGGGTACGGATGGAGCCAGCACCTCCCCGCGAAGTCAAATGAAACCTTTTAGGTAATTGAAATATATATAGAGCATGTGACTATATTGGTGTGAGGGTCACGCCGTTCCATACTGATATTTTAAGTAGTAATAAACTCTACATTTGTTTTCAATACGGAATCCAGATCAAACAGATCTACATCACCCAGCAAAGTATTTTCTTTACATTTTTGCCCAAACACTTAATCATCATGTTTCTGAACAGCTCCAACTCCCTCAGCGCAACATCCCTGAACCTTCAGTCCAGTACAAGATCACAAGGGACAGCACAGTCTGCAGCAGCCTCCATCTACTAGCTTGGAGACTTCCATTGTAAGTGATTTCATCAGCATTTGAAATAGCTGAAGAACCTTTTGACTTTAATATCACATTAAACTAGGGATTCACCGGTACTAGTATCAGTGCTGATACCGAGTATTTAGGCAAGTGTACTCCTACTCGCTCAAATGCTCCCGATACCGGAACTTCAGGTATCAGGAAGCCGGGCGGCGAGTCATTACATGCTGCTCGGCTTCTTGATTGGCTGAAAAGCTGGCTCCATGCTCCCTCGCCACTTGGTGATGAGGCAGCACGGAGCCGGCTTCCCAGCCAATCGGGACGCTGGGCGGCAAGTCATTACCTGCCTCCCCAGCTTCCTGATTGGCCAAAAAGTCGGCTCAATGCTTCCTCATCACCTTGTGACGGCTAATGTGGAAGTCGGACGGCGAGTCATTACACGCTGTCCGGATTCAGGCTAATCGGGCTTCCTTAATGGGACGTCCGGTATCGGTATTCGGTAATTAATTAATTCAGAGTAACGAAAGAAAAATAACAGTACTCGATACCGAAAAACCGGTATGGCTGCATCCCTACTATAAACCCCATGCATCTTTTATGTCTTAAATAGAGCAGGTATTGGTTATGACCTTTGTAGATTTATTTTGTGCTGTCTGTGTACTGTTGGGAAGGCTCTGGAGATTCACCAGGAAGTGAAAGGTAATCTCTCCAAAATGAGGGTGACTTCCCTTCTTTAGCTGTCCCCAAAACAGGTGTTCCCATTGGAAGATTTCACTTTGCTTCCTGTTCTGGTGACAGCTGTAAAATATTGGATTTCCCTTCACTATTGTGATACGTCACCAGGGCCAATAGTGGTGGTGAACCTACCACAACAATAAAGGAGCAGACTGTGATATGACTGTTCTATGTTACAGTGCTCCACATACCAAGTCTTTGGAGATCCGGATCAAAGAGGAGTTAATAGCCCAGGGCCTGCTGGAGTCTGAGGATCGGCCGGCTGAGGATTCGGAAGACGAAGTGTTGGCAGAGCTAAGGAAGAGGCAAGCCGAGCTGAAGGCCCTCAGCGCCCACAACCGGGCTAAGAAATTGGAGCTGCTGAGGTGAGAGCAAAAACATCAGCATACAGATTTATTGCTAACTGTGGAGGCAGCCGTCGTGAAACTGGTACAGCCAAAGCAAGTAACATTGGGGGGCACCCAGTCACTGTACTGCTGTTCATTCTGAGCCCAAGTGAAAGAACACCTCCCAGGCACCCTTTAGCCATGCATGCTTTACGTAGGAAGCTGGGCACTGAGTTGTGCAGACTATAGCTATACAGTCTGCTGATCAATTGCTTGAATACATTCTCTCAGCCCTGCCTATGGAACCATAATCAAGCAACAAGGCTGCACAGCTATAATCTGCACCGTCCAGTGACCAGCAGGGAGGATAAAGCTTGCCTAAAGGGATGCCAGTGTTGTGTTATTTCACTCAGGCTTATCATAACTACACTATTCGTAAAACAATCACAGAGCTGTGCATTCTGCGAACATCTGATTTTTGGATGTGCACCACATGATGGCCACTAGATGGAGCCGAGGATCACAGGAAATTCCTAATTATATCTCTGCCCCATCTAGTGGCCATGATGAGTGCGAATCTAAAAGTCAGATGGCTGAACAGCTCTGCAGACAGTTTTATAAATAAGCCCCTTGAGGTCTCTGCTCAGTGGCATCATTAGGGGGGTGCAGCCCGCACCCGGGTGACACCAAAATGACGGTCATGGACCGAGAGCCCGACAGTTGCACGAGAGAGGAGGGGACCCAGGTGAACGTTCTCTCTCCCTCTCTTTCTTGTGCGTGAT